ATTCTTATATCAAATACTAAATTCTAACTTTGGTTCAAAGTAAATGCTCAGACATAACCATGCCTACACACCCTCCAAATCACTGCAGATGCAGTTTAAACTTTTATTCAAACCACAGAAATGACAGCATCTTTTGCAGGAAAAGCCAAAACTAAGTTATCCCATCAGGAAGATTGTAAGTGATACCAGAATAAGAATAGAATGTGATCTAAAGAGAAGGTAAAGTTGGGTGTGGTAGCATAGCACCTTGAGAGGCTGAGGCACAAAGATCACAAATTCCAGCCTAGCCTGGGCTAGGGATGTAGCTCAGTATGAAGACCCAGAGTTCAATCCCTGGTACTGCAATCAATCAATCAATCAATCAGCAATTAATAATTATTAAAAAAGATAGAAGGTAAATATTAAGCTTGGGTTTAGTATGATCTTGTGACAGAGCCAGACATGCAGGAACTGCCTGAATGGACATTTAAGCTAAGAGATATTTAATGACTGCTTGTGTAGTAATTAAAATAGACTAATTTAAACAGTATAAAAGTAGCCTTTAAAGGTACACTAAAAGCAAACATATGCAAACTATAATACAGAACATTATCACTAGACTACAAAAACAAATACCCTCAAAACCAATTCATACAAAGGAAACAAAAAGAAGAAAGGAAGCATTTTAAATCAGTCTACTGAGAGCTTCAACCCTTAGAGCTAAGTAAGAATTTATGTAACAAACTGCTAACTGTAGACATCTGGGTTTGAAGTGATGATTTTAGTCTTTTTATTGTAGTAAAATTTAACTCTTGGGCGTTTAAATAGGAACAAATTGGGTAATAAAGGATAGTTTGAGCAAAACCATTGTCCCATCATGCTATACCTTTGATCCCACCTCTAGTATTGAGCAGTGAAGATCCATCAAGGAGAAATTAATAATGGGCATATTCCTGAATTTTTAAAGAAGCTTTTCAGTAACTGAAAATGCCTGCCAGAATTAGTCTTCTAAATAAGCAAGGAAAAAGGGGGCACCTTTTGAAGTCTCCCCTTATAATGTGCACATAATCTGAGGAGTGGAAGTGACCCAGTGTGTTTGGGAGGATTTACATTTCACTGCTGAAGAAGAGTAAGAATACTGAGATGATTTAGAACCAAGAGTAAACCCTTGTAAATTACACCACGGATGTGATTTTTGTGTTTCAACAAATAAAATGCCATATTCATTAAACAAAACCATCATGAAAAAAATGAACATTTTCAGAATTTAAATTTAGTTTACAATATTCATCAACCAGAGCACTATTAAATGTGGGAATGAAATCTGGGAATGAAAGATGAGAGTAACAATTCACCACTACTCAGACTTGAAGAAAGTAGATGGACCCACAAGTTAACACTGGCCTGATATATGAAGCACTTGGGTTACGACTGGAATTTTAGTTTTAACTTATGATCAGTCTTAAGTTATGACCCAAATGCCAGTAGCTTGTGCTTCTAGACGATTTCAGATGTGGATTTAACCCTTAAAGAGTTCTGGAAGAAACATTACAACATCCTTTCCTGTACGGGGTTAACTGAGAAATCCTAGGCCAGTGTCTCTCTAAGGACACTGAGATCCGCCTGTGTACAAGAGAAACTTTGAAGGCTGTATAGAGGAGCCTGAGCCTCCAACTGACGTGAGTTACAACCAGCCCTTGGAATAAATTGAGTTCCTAAGTCAAGGGTCCACTGTAAAGTAGAAAGATCCCAATTGCCTTACAAAGGTGGGTTGGTTAAGGAAAGTATTAAACTCTGCTCATATAACACAATGATAGCCATTAAAATTATGTAGTAAACCTCTGTGTTCTGCATATATAATGATACCTATCATAGATTGCTGAATTTAAAAAAGGAAACACTGAAACCATTATGCTAGGTAAAGAAGACAGAATCAAAAGGCCACCTATCAATGCCTCTATTTACATGAAATGTCCTGAGCAAGAATACCCCAGTATATGGAGATGAGTGGATTGGGAGGTACAGGATTTCTTTGAGGGTGATGAAATATCCTGAAGATAGTGGTGATGGCTGTAAACTGTGAATGTACTAAGTGCCACTGAGAATATCCTTTATAATGGTCAAGTGGTGATTTTTAAACGTAGGTTTTATTGCAATAAGTTTTTTTTTGGAAGGTCTGTGTACACGTGTATTCAAATGTGTATACAAGCCACTAGGGGACAGAGCAGAGGGTATTTGTGTGCATGGTTTGACAAAATGCACAGCAATCTATATAAAGGGAGTAATGTGTGTAGGGAGTGAAATTTGGGGAGTAATTTGACTTTTAGTGTTGTGGGTTTTTCCACCCCTGGGCAAAAGCACGATGTTGCTTTTTCCTATATTAAACTATGCTCTTTCACAGAGATGAACACAGACATTTAAGCAGTTGTTCTACCTTCCATGCAAAAATCACTACTCAAAAACTTCTCTCCCGCTCGCTCGCTTGCAGGCAGTTCCCACCACCACCTCCTGGCAACTACTGTACTAACTTAGGGTCTTTATAGAGTTAGTTTCCTAGAAATTCAAATAAATGAAAACGGGTATGTGGCCTTTGGTATTTAGCCTTTTTGACCGAACATATTTTTGAGGGCTATCCGTGTTGAAGTAGTTTATCAGTATGTCCCTTTTTATTGCTGTATGGAAATAATAATTTATATTGATGGGATAATTGGAGAGGAAGGTAAAGTATTCCCATTTTGAAAAATAAAACAAAGAAAATAAAAGGGCTTTTAGAATCATTGTCTAGAATCATCTACCAAATCCTTCAATACTATCAAAGACCACAATACTGAAAATCACAAGCAAATGTCATTAAAGTTTTTGAAGATACTCTTCAAAACTATATTTTAATTAGGAAAAAAGACTCATACTATTTACTTTACAAGATTCACAGTAACCCAAGTAGGTAGAAAAGTATTTAAAAATATTTTAAATGGTTCCAGTATCTACTTCATTTGCTCATTTTTTCTTTATTCAGTGTCACAAGTATTGAAAAGCTATCGAAAACACATTAACATACATTCACTCCGTCAGCAAACTTAGTGCTAGTTTCAAAAAGAAAACAAGTTTATGTACACAAAATAAGCCTAGTTAAGTTGATAAAAATGTAATATTCGATATTTAGAACCTAATGTGCTCAATGAAGTATTTTGTGCTTTTAAGTTAGGAGAACAGTTCTGTATTTAATTAGTCCTCATTTGGGTATGTAATTATTTTAATTTATTTGCGCAAACACAGGACATTGTGCTCCATCAGCAGATAATGTTCTTCATTAACAAAGGTAGGAACTTTGTGCACAGGGACAGAAGAAATATTTCCACCTGTTATGCAAAAGCAGAGTCACAGACTATCAGACTTCATCCTTCAGTTCATGGCCATCACTCTGACAATTTGTTAATAATAATACACTTTTGACCAAGTATCTTGTCAATCCACAGAAATCAACAATTTAAATACTTCATTTTACCTATCACTGGTACAAAACATTATTTATTAATGAATAAACTAATTTACTGAAATTCAAGTAAAGGAAATATGCTACATTTCAACTTTTAGTAATTTCTATTGTGCAGAAGTAAATTTTTAAAGGTCTTTCTTTATTGGTGGTATAAAGGAATAGTAATGGCTTGCACTGGACAGAGATGTGGGGATGTGCTTTATTTCAGGGTGTTTGAAAAGAAACACTGCGTGTTGGACAAGCTAACACATCATTCTTACCTTTCATTAAAGCAGTCCCCACAACCTGCATCTTGTTATTGCCACTCCCTTTCCCAGATACTAAGTATATTCCAAAAAGACTCACTTCTTAACTTATATGCTATAAATGTCTTAGAAAAAACTACTTGTTTTTTCTTGATTCTAAATGTTTCATTCCTGAAGTTCATATTTGGAAGCAAATATTTTTTGATAAATTGCTTGAGAAATGTTTTAGCTCTTATTTTCAAATAAAGTAGCTTATAAAAACTGGGATCATTTAGTAACTAGTACTTCAAATCTGACATCACAAAATGAGTCAGTGAACAGTGACAGAAGATTTAACTCGGGGAACTTCTTGCATAGGAGTCTTGCACTAGGTAGCATTTTAAAGGGAAGTCCAGCAGCAGCAAATTTAATGCTACCATCTATACCATGGGACTGGCTATATAGTTTAGAAAATAGCTGACAGTACCTGTTAGCTGAAAAATTAACAGGCATATGTGTCTGTGTATACTTTTTTTCCTCCAACAGTTCAAAGTAAGGAACTTGTCTGAGTTGGTACATCAGCTCTGCTCTATGAGATATCAGACATATGTCCAAATGTGGTACCAATTTCCTATAATTTTTGAAGACTGAGTTAAATATATTCTATAGGGTAAGATTCTAACTGTATACTTCCCTTTTGATCAAAGTTCTAAATTCTTCCATTTATACTGGGGGGCATATAACCTTACTTATAGATAATAAACACTACAAGTATAATGGCCTAGGTATGAGACAACCGAATTTATCTATCTATGCAACAATTTTGATTCAACAATGTCTATCTAGGTTAAAAATACATACATTCAAAATGCCAATTACACTATACTACAATTCTCTCTGCATTTCCAAAACTATCTCTGATGAAAAATGCTTTTCCTACAAATATAGTGAAATAGTTCTTTAAAATACTAGGTAAACATAGCAAAGGTATAAAACATGCATTTGCATTGTGTGTGAAATTAACCACACGTTCTTAGGGGCATACATGATATACCAGTGTATATGACAATGCATTGAGCACAAGATCTGGTGAGGTATGTTTCCCCCTAGTCTGTCGCCCCAGGCAGTTTCAGTTTCTCAGTAAACTTGAAGTTATGCTCAGTGTTTTTAGTATGAAAAGTTACTTGTGTTGGGCATAAAATGGGCCCCGTAAGTGGGCAAGCCAGATATTCTACCGAGTATTTAACTGAAGAAACATTTATTCCAATGCTAATTAAAAATAAAAAATTGCCACATACTACTTTTTCAGACACAATATAGGAGTCTTTAATGTATGCATAAATATGGGTACACATACTGTATTTTTTACCTCAGGAGAGTTTTATTAAGAGAAACACTGGCTACACATGACTCTTTAATCAAACTCTTGAACTCAACTCTTGCATCAGATCCAACTCCACTATATGGTTGTTTTGACAGAGCAATAGTTAAGTATTAAAAAGTTTTGTATCTTATTTTGGAACTAAATAAGACAACTGACAAACATAAAAATCTCTACATGATTTTAAAGTAAAACTCATTTTCCTGGGTGGGGAAATCAGCAGATTAAGAAGACAATTTGGTCCATTTGGGAATTTGGTTGAGTTGGTTCTGAATCTATCCAAGAATGAGAAACTTAATTTCCAAGGCCTCATCTACCCCATTCATAAGAAAGAACTGAATATTAATGGAAGACATTCATATACTTGCCTTAACAAGAACTATCTTTATAAAACAAATTGGGGAAGACAAAGATAGTATCCAAAGATTACAATAAAAATATTGTAATACAATTTGTTAAGTTTGGGAACTTAGCCAAAACCTTTTATTGTTTCTCCTGAAGAATGAAAATAAAAAAAATTTATGTGATGCCAGAGATTAGAAATTAAGATCTTTATAAGAAGTATGTTTTATTTATTTCAATTTCTGTTGATGCTTGAAAGCTTGCTCTGAAAAGAAAATACACTGTGGTTTTCTCTTAAGATTACATAAATCTTTCACCTTTAAAAAAAAACCATTTATACATCAATCTGGCATTTCTTTTTACTTAGAAGGAAAGGCTCTTTCTTAAAAAACAGAAATATTTTCTTCCCCATAGCATGCCTTTCTCCTAGCTTTGTCCAGAATCAGAGATAAGTCCTCCAGAAAGTCAGTGACCACATACAGGATATAGTATTTTTGTACAAATTTTCTGCCAAGAGAACTTAACAGTATAAATTAAATAAATTTAGGAAAATAATGTTGTAACTCAAAAGTAAATTGCTCCTCATTTTAAGCTTTTTAAAATCTCCTAGTAGACAACTTCTATGTTTAAAGCTTAGATAAAATCGGGAGTCAAAATCAGACCCTAATTGAAGAAATCCAGACATGGAGAACAGTGGTTTAGTAAAAGTAAACTCAACAACATAGTTAAAATTGGGAAAATTTTAATATGCATCAAATGTACTTTACATAGATAACTAAAATACTGAACTTGTGAAATTTTAAATATTTTTCTCAAAAAAGGTTAGTGATTTTCTTGGGAAAGGTAGAGGCCCAACTAAGCATTAATGTGGCCAGTCCAGGTTTAATAAACACTAATATCTGAACAGCAGTTCACATTTCTTGTCTACAATAAGGTAGACTGTGAACTTTTCAAAACTGAATTTTAAAAAAAGTTTCACGAGACAATTTACAGGAATGTCAAATTTTTGAACTGGAAACTCAAAACTCTGCATTGGAATTTTTTTTTCTGCTGAGTGCTCCTAACTTGAGTATATAGACAATTTTCTTTCCTAATTCCTGGAAAAAAGCATTTATGCAGTAAGCCTTGTGTATTTAATGGGTTGTTTTTAAGAAAGGTTATCAGCTATGTGGTTGGTTTCCCACGGTTAATAAAAATCTATCAAAAAAATCATAATATAATTTGTAAGGAAAAAAGTTGTTTTTCCAAAGCTACAGGAAAAGGAAAGAAACAGCACAAACACTTAAAGCTAGTCACACTGCAGATATATCCAATATAGTATTCAAAAGTTCTATAAAAATGAACAAAAGATACATATTCACTTCCATTGCTCCAATAGTCTATCATAAATCTGTATGAGAGTTGCGCTGTAGCAATTTGCTGGTCCAATTTAAGAGTTCAGAGTCCTCCTTGTGTATTTAGCCCACTGATGTCCACATTTCAGATAAATTCCGTTCAAAAGACAGAAATGAGGGCAAAGACTCCATATAACAAAGCACAAGGATATGCTACTAAAAGTTGTTGTCCTTCCATGGCTAATGCAGAAATAAAAATCTTGGAAGCAGAAAAACTACACCATCCGATAATCCCAGCAGTGAGAACAATTCCTAACATGCCTCTGTAAGCAAAAAAAGAAAAGGGGGAGATTAGTTATGTAAGAACACTACAATAATTTACTCTAAAGAAAAGCATTTTAAATCTACACGTAGACACATGTGGAAATAATGAAGATTTTTCTTTCCAAGTGCTAAAACGAACCCCACAGTGAATTCACTGATGCTAAGTCATTTCATGTGATAAAAATCTCACTTATAACTATATTTCTCTTTCGAAGTACAAGGCTCGCCACCCTCGGCATTGTGACACTGGGCTGGAATATCTTGTTGTGAGGGCTGTTCTGTGCACTGCTAGGATGTTCAGCAGCATCCCCAGTCTCTACCAAGATAGCAGCATCCCACCAACCCCCAGCTGTGACATCAAAATTACCTCCAGACATTACCAAATATCCCTTGGGAAACAAAATTCTTCCGGGGTGAGCAACAGTGTATTAGTATAAAAATAAATCCTTCTCTAAAATTCAAATATTAACATGTCAATTCTTAACAAATAAGGATGAAACCCTTTCCTCAATGAAAATCCAAACCACTTTTGTTCAAAAGAACACTATAAAGTCATTATCCTGTCAAACTTCTATTATGAGACAAATAGTTGATACATGCTTTTCTCCTCAACCTCCATTTAGTTAATTCTAACATAATGTAACAAAGCCTAATCACTGGTCCAGCACTAGCTACAAGGAGGTGCTTGAAATGTTGACAGATGATCTAGACATTGACGATGAAGAATTTCACATAAATAAATTTATACCTTACTAGCTTGTGAAACACAAAATAGACAGTTAAGTATTCATACATTCTGCATATGCCCAAAGGTCAAGAAATCTGGCATGATCTAAAGCATACAAAGAAGAATAAGCATAATTTCAACACTAATGACTTGAACTTTTCCATGTGTTATTTAAGGATCACAACTATTCAATTTGTTACTGCTGTGACACTGGTCAATAAACATAAAAGTAGTAAAATTCTTCACCACACATAATACAAAGATGGCATAAAAGAGTTCAAAACTTATTCTTACTTTCATTGTTCATCTTCCAAAAACATGGAACAGTTCTTATGTTCAAGCGGGACTATCTCACTATCTCAGGGAATCAATCATTCACTATCTCTTTCAATTAATGATTATCTTGAACAGAAGGTGAGGCAAATCTTATCACATAGAATTGGTCCAACTTCAAAATAAAGATCAGTACTTACTGTAAAGAACATATCACTGCAAAGCTGGAAAGTAGGATCATGGGAAGCAGACAATATCCAAGGACACTTGCCACACAACCAAATGAAACGCCTGTCATACTCATTAAGTTTAATAAGCAGAACATTCCTAGACATCCAATTGCACTGATCCCATATACATAGCCAAACTGGATTTTGCCAGCCTATGAGTGAAGAAAAGGTAACAGGTTAAGGGACAAAAACTAAGTTATTCTTGACTTTATTTCACCCTAAATGGCACATATAAAAGTTATTCATTATCAAACTCTATAGCAATACATATATTTCATGCAGGGAAATAAAAAAACAGACTAGGCTTCATGGCCTTCTCAAGGTTAAAGTATCACCTCCTAATACACTGATACTTGGTCCTCCAGCTTACTTCTAAAAGGAACTTTGGTTGATGCTAAGCAAGTAAACTACACAGGTGGAAAGCTATTCAAAATGCCTGGACAATTGCTAATAGCACCTATTTCCTCAAAATGCGCCAAGGCAACTTATTCTTATGGGCATATACAGGCACAATCTAAGAGCAGAAATTTTATTCATTTTATATGGCATTAGAAAAAAGAGAAAAGAATCCAGGATAAGCAGGAGGCTAAGTGTCTGTGGAGAAGGAAAGAGAAAATGCAAGAGGAATATAACTGAAGGTGTTTTTTTCTTTCATTACTTTTCCAAATTGTTGGTCTTTACAGTCCTTGGGTAAGAAAAAAACAAACCAAAGACATCAACTTAACAATTCTGCTCTTGTAAATGAAATCACTGAACAGTTTTCAGACAGTAAAGATTAGCTAAGTTGGAACTCCCTTACTAGTCAAGTTATGTGAAAAAGTACTATATTCAGCTCATACTATCACTGTCCCTAAAATCTGCACAGAGAATCATTCAAAATCTACCAAGTTTTTCAAATGTAGGACTCAGAGTTAATGCTTAATTTAAAAAAAAATTTTCTTGTTTGTTTTTGACCAATTTTGCATGCTGGTATCTAGTAATTTGAACAACTAATTTGAAGACAATATGCAATATAACAACCATTGGTGAACTCTGACCATCGTGTCTAGTGAAACTCTATCATTTCTAATGTTTCTTTTGTTTTTTATTTTTTACTCTCTTTAAGTTTGATCAACCTTGCATTCTTACATCTGGTAATCTGAGCAACTTTGTTGAAGATAACAATATGTGATATAACAACCACTGTTAATTCTTATCATTTTATTCTGAAATCCTGTATCGTTTTTATTGTTTTTGCTTTGTTTTGTTTTTATCTATGTTGTTATTTTGCTATTGTTCTTTTTTTATTATTCTCTTTAAAATAAAAAAAGACTCAATCCAGAGAATATCTCTATAGATTATGATCAATGGAAAAAAAAATCATTGAGATTTTTGTTGACTCAAAATTTAATTGTAAATATTTGATTAAGAGTGTGTGTGGAAGTTTCATAAAGCTGAGGGAGTTCCCTGATGAATTCATCATTTTTAACTATTTGAAGTGTCTTCACATAGTCGGTCTTGTTTTATCTTCAAAACAATCCTGTTAGTGGGTAGGACAGGATTATCATCTATCAAAGGGAGCTGAAGGATTAAATAATTCAGTCAAGGACAAAGTAGGAGCAGAGTTCAAGCCTTACCCTTCTGACTAAAAATTCTATCTTCTACCCTTACATTATTTATCTCTTGTAGTTTGGTTATAAAATAAAATTAAACAAGTGTAATAGATATCATTATAAATTCTCATCATTGGCAAAATGACTTTAACATTCTTAAGGAGGCAGGAGATGGAGAAAACCTGTTTTTTGTTTCAATGTTTTAATGTATTAAAAATTAAAATATATAGAAAAGTAACCATCAGCAAAACAACAAAACACTAAGCATTAAAAAAATGGTATTTTTATTTAAAAAAAGCAATAGGGAAAAAATATTCTCTTTCTGAAAAGAAAAAATGATAAAAGGGAATTCTAATGAGGTACTGAAGCCACATACACTATTCACTTGGTTTTTTATTCTTGCGGTGTTTTCCCCAATAACTGGACTACTTAGAATACGATGTTATTTTTTAAATATGCTATTGCTATATAGTACAGTACTGGTAGAGAAGTGATGAAGAGGTATACATTCACCCAACTCAAGGCCATTCAAAACACATCAAAGACTTGAAGTATAAGCAAGAGTTTCAAAAATGGCTTTTGGTGAAATACTTAAAAATTGTTACTTAAGCACATGCTGAGAAATGAAATTAAAAACTTACCAGTAACAATGTGGCTCCAAAAGCAAGACAAAAAACCATTGGTCCTGCCAAGTCAGTTTCATTCATGATGCTGCCATCTGCTACTTTTAATGGATGTAGCACTGTTAGTGTTTTCTGCCAGATGTGGTCAAAATTGATACCTAACTCTACAGGAAAAGAAAATAAGACAACTTAGATTTGTGGCATACTTTTAATTTACCACAATATATGTTGGAACGGGAGCCATAGTGAAACCCTGTTAGTGTATTTCCATGCAGAATAATCAATATGCTATTTCCTTTCACTTCTTCCACTGATGGAATTTAATTATTAATCTTAAGTAAAAGTCAAAGTTAGCATTCAGACATATTTTATTATCAATTTATTAAAAAGTCTATTAAAAATATAGTCTCCTCTGGCCCAACAGTGTTATGTATACTCTTCAAAATAAGTAGAAAACTGGTTTGTAAGACTGTCTTTTAAAGGAAAGGACTTCTCCAAACAAAAGTATATTTCACTGACTCATACTACGAAGTATAGGTTGAACATCTGTATTTGGAAAAATATAAAATTTGAAAACTAAAACTTTTTGAACAGCAACATGATATTCTAACAGTTTCAGATTTTGGGCATTCTGGATGTCTTACTAGGGATGCTTCCCCAGTGAAGTCCGTAAGAATATTTCAACATTCAAAAGAACTCAAAATGTGAAATATTCTGGTCCCAGCATTTCAGTTAGGGTTTATTCAACCTGTATTACCAAATGTTACAACCAATCCTACCTTCTAATAAAGGGGGCTCATCCTCGAAGTTGTTCCCATAGAACGGCTGAGGTGCAGCTGGAGTATATGTCTGAGTTGGATGGAAAATCTGCCCAGTGTATGGCTGCTGTGGCTGCATCATGTCTGGAGGGACAAACCGGCCCGGCTGCGAGTAGTCATAGCCTGGATACTGTCTATTAAAAAAAACCCAAACAAACAGGAAATTAAATTTCTCCAAAGTATTCCAACACCCTGACAGTCGATATTCCTTAAATTCCTAAATTGTCATATGATAGCTACAAAAGATCAGGATACCACATTGGTTTATTTATAAATGATGACTGAAATTACCACGATCAAGCTGAGTACAATGAAAGATTTATAAAGAATCTTCTTATGAGGCTAGTATTCCCCTGTTCAGAATTTAAGCAGTTTATGAACTTTTATATTTTTAAATGCTTGAAGCCAACAAATACTTAAACATCTTGTTTATTTTTCTTTCTTAGTGAGGGTATATAATGATGTGCTATGAAATAAGCTTATAGCCTAAGACAACGAATGGAAAACTTAGGATAACAGAGCTTGCACTACACGTTACATAATTTTTCATGGTAATCTGGATACTCGTGAAAGCATCATTCTTCTTTACCTTTTTAGTATGTCATTTTTTATAAATAGGAAGATCACCTGGAATCATCAATTTGAAATCACAATGTGGGAAAATTAAGCTTATACTTTGTGAAAACTTTCTGAATATATTATTGGTATAACTTGCATTTGAATAGTGCTTTGAAATTTTTGAAGTGGTTGTGCATCTGTTGTCTCATTTGTACTAACAGCAAATCCTATATTTGGAGGAAGAGCCCTTACTGTGGCTGTTTTCTTTTTTTGTATCCATTTATTTTTAAAACTTTTTATCAGTACATGTTTGCAGTCCATAATACATTCCTTGTGTCACTGGTCCGTGTGAACAGAGCTTGATTTCTTTCTTTACCCCTTTTCCTTTTCCTTCCCTTCCCACTTTTTTTTTCTTCATTTCCCTCCCTTGAAAAAGATCTTTCTTCCTACCACAGCTATTTTAATGACAAGAGGGAACACAAGGATATTGAAGGTACATCTTTAAATATTTGTTTCACTATCTTCTGGGAAAACATTATCAATTAATGGGATTAATCTAATTGTGTAGTGCAAGCTCTGTTATCCTAAGTTTTCCATTCGTTGTCTTAGGCTATAAGCTTATTTCATAGCACATCATTATATACCCTCACTATTGTAAGAAATACAGAAGTGAAACATTTATTTAATAGTAAAATATTTTTAAAAAACAGAGAAATTCTTTAGTCTATCTTTAAAAATTTATGGTTCCCTTTTGGAAAATGCAAGATTTTCAAATCCATTAATAAATAGCTACCAGTAAATACATTGTGACATGAACATGTAAGAGATTGCTATGTACCTATAAAAAGAAAGAGGCAGTTTTATGTGTACTAATGAAAATAATATTTAGTGAGGAAAAAAAGCAATGTTTAAAATAGTGCACATTATACATAGCCATTGTGATTGTGTTGTTTAGAAAATAAACACACAGATGTATATATGCTTGTATATGCCAAGGATAGCTCTGGGAGTATAAAGAAACATCTAACCATTATTTTGCCAAGTAAAGGAACTTGGTAATATGAGGGAAAACGAAATTTCCACACTATGAACTTTTATACTTTTGAAAATGTGCAATACTCATTACTTACAGAAACTGGTTAATTTGAAAACAACTTACATGCAATGTATAAGTAACTTAACTGCAAATGTACAAAATAATCTTTGAGGATGTTACTATTTGTAAAGCATTCTTTTAAGTGTTTAATGTAGATTATCTCTTATTATCCTCACTACAACTCTCTGAAGTAGATACTATTGCCTCCTCATAAAGATGAGGAAACTCAACTCCAGGTTAAAATAATTTGTCCATGGTGGTACCAGATTTAAAATGAGGCTACTCTTAACAGGTGTTATAAAAAGCACTTCAAAATCCTACCTTATAAAGACAGTTATAACAGTCTGCTCTGTACAGGTACTTTCTTCAGTGTTTGTTGTATGAAAATATATTGATTTCTTCCTATGCATGAGCTCACCTCACATGTACACTATCCTCTCAGAAGGCTAGCTGTTGAACTAAGGTGAGAATTTACGCTGCATGAATTAATACAATATGCTATTATGCTGATCTGTCAGATGTATCAGTCTATGAAACCACAAGACAAGCTCCATATGGCAATTTCTGCAGTGTGTTTAAACAGACTGTGTTTTAGTCTCAGAGAGTTAAGAAAAAATGCACAGCAACATAAAACTAAAATGAATAGTACTGAGTAGCATTTCTCAGACACTTTGGTCTTAGCTTCCCTTTAAATTCTTAAGATGTATTTAAACTTTAAAGTGTTTTTGTTTATGGGAGTTATTATCTATCAATATTGACCATGCAAGAAATTAGATGTTTAAATTTTTAAGTATTGAGTAACTCATTTAAAGTAATACATTTTAACATAAAAACTTTCATGAGGAAAACTTTAGAAAAAATAACTGAGAAAAGTTGCACTGTATTATATTTTAAAAATGTTATTAGAGGTTGGCTTAATGGAAGGTAGTTTTATGTTTGCTTCTGCATTCAATCTGTTGTGACATACTGTTTTCATTGAAGGACTTGAAAATTTGTTACAGACATGTAGTTGGTAAATAGTATTATAATAAGATTTCAGACAATCACAAATTAAACCAAATAGATTTTAGACAATCGCAAATAAAACCACATTAAAACTCAAAACAAAATTATTTAATCCTACATTAAAAAGATCATGTTTGTTAACATCACCAGATATTATCAAAAAAATGGTTAATTACCAGAAAGCTGACAATTTCAGACTAATGAATTCAACTTTTCCAAAATCTTTATTGTTGCCTAAAAAACTGACCACCAGCAACACATACTGTCAGTTGTTTTTCTTGAAGTGACACTCTTACTAATTTTTGGGAAAAGATGTGACAATACTCAAATCTGAAGGACCAGTTTGTCTATCAGTTGTTATTTCAAATTAAAAATGATCTTTCACTGAAAGATTCAGCTTGTTCAGTTTGGTTCAGCTTGCAACTCAAATTGCACATGTGCTTTCCTAGAGATCATACCTTCACTATGGAACAGTAATGCTTTATGACTGTTTTACTAAAGAAGTGGGGCTGGGGATTTAGCTCAGCGGCACAGCGCCTGCCTGGCAATCACGAGGTTGTGAGTTTGATTCCTGGTACTGGAAAACAACCAAAAAAAAAAAAAAAACAAACAAAAACAAAACAAAAAACTACTAAAGAAGTATGTTTATTTAAGGGTCAAGATTGAATAAAATTACAACTTTATGAATGCTCCATTATGGGAATCCTTAAGTGAGAACATACTCGTCTATCTTTCAACAATGTGACTATGAGCACAATTTGATGTAACTACCTTGATTCACACTCAGGTACTAGCAATTTTATCAAACACTGGTTTTTGCAGTATCAGTGCAAATGTTAACATATCTAAAGGTTGTAGAATGTTAATATTGTTACAAAAATCATTTCTCATCTTAAAAGCTCCCTGAAAATTCTCAAGGATCCTAGAGTCTGCAGTCTATACTGAGAACTACTGAGTTAGACCCATAAATTTTAAGTAAGGAAAAGAAATACTTCAAGCAATTGTTTCAAAGGTAGCATCAAAAACAATGTACTGGCACAAAGATATGGATATCCATGGAAAGGAGCAGAAAACAACCTCATGCACCTACAGCCATCTGATTTTTTACCGAACAGCTAAAAACACGCATTGGAGAAGACAGCTTCTTTAACAAGTAAGTCTTGGGAGAACTGGATATCCTCTTGCAAAAGACTGAAAATAGATCTCTATCTCTCAGTCTGTACAGAAACCAGAACAAAATAGATCAAAGATGTAGATATAAGAACAGAAACTTTCAAACTGTTGGGAAACAGCATGAGGAAAACACTTAAAGCCATAGGCATAAGCAAAGACTTCACGTGTAGAACTCCAACAGCAAAGGGAGTAATACAAAGAATCAACAAATGTGATTACATCAAATTAAAAAGCTGCTCAGCAAAAGAAAAAAAAAGGCCAAAAAGTACATGAAAAAATGTTGAACATCTTCAGCCACTAGGAAAATATAAATCAAAATAATTTTGGGATTCCATCTTACCCTAGTCAGAATGGCTATCACCAAGAACACAAAAAACAATCAATGCTGGTGAGGCTACAGAAAAGAGGAACACTCCTACACTGCTAGAAATGTCAACTAGTACAACTAGTATGGAAATCAGTATGGAGACTCTCAAAAATCTAAAAGTAGAAACAACATCTGACCCAACTATCTGCTGGGTATATTCCTAAAAAAGTTAAAGACATCATACTATAGAGATAGATGCATACCCATGTTTACAGTGGCACAATTCACAATAGCTAAGCTCTGGAAACAGCCTTGATACCTTCTAAGAGATAAATGAGAAAAAACAATGTAGTATATAGGAACAATTGAGTATTATTCAGGCACGAAATCATGTCATTTGTAGGGAAATAGGTGGAACCAGACACCATCATCTGAGTAAAATATACCTGACTCAGAAAGTTAAAGTATCATGTTTTCTCTTAAATGAGGAACCTAAAATATAATACATGACTAAAATAAAGAAGAGATGGCAAGAAATTAGATAATAGAGTCCTGCAGATGGGGAAAGAGGCCAAGAGAAGAAAGGAGACTAGGGACAAAGGAGTAAACTGATTGAAAACAATCAAGATATGTTATATGCATGTAACAATTTCCCCAAACGTCAATATTCCACATTACAAACGTACCGTACTAACAAGAAAATGGAAGAAAAATATCACTGAAGCAGCCGCACACTGAGCTTCACACATTGAACAGAGAGATAGTCGCGCTTGTTCTCTCTCTTTGAATCATTACTCCCACACAGAGGGAGCATCATTATTCCATGTTCCAAATGCAACATGAGAAAGACAACACCATGGGAGTTTACTATTTGCGTTTTCCAGCAGCACTTGCTCAGGAAAACTTCTGATTTAGTCTTGCTGGTTTTAAACTAATACATAGCATGGTAGACATACATAATCTTTACAGACTAAAGCAACACTTTCACAGCAGAAAAAGTTCTATATGCTAAATCAGTACTCTCCTATGCATTGTATCAACAAGGACAGCATTTGCACATACTAGGTTCCTACTCAAGTTCATGAAAATCCTCAGATATTTCATAAAGGTATCATCAGTTAAGTCAAAGATGAAAACATAATGGCTTTCTGTAGTTTAGAATAAGTGACTGATATTTATTTCAGAAGTATATTTAGACTATAATGTGGGATCTCTCCAGTATGACTCTTTCACACACATGTGCACATACACAACAACAACAATAGGTTATAATCAAAGGATCATCTGCTTTTAGTTTTTTGTTTGGTATATGACTGTATAAATGACACCTGTGAAATAGCTACAGAGGAAATCATAAAATGCGAAAGGTGACATCAGAGCGCCAATACAGAATCACAGACTAGTAAGTCAAACTGAAGACAATCCAAATATGCTATCTGAACCCATACTGTCAGCAAGAGAGAGCTAACAGTTATCACGGGAGTTGTACACAGGCTGGAAAAATGTATTATGTTGTAGATGTACTTGAAGGTACACATAGTAGAAGAGTTCAATTTCTTTTTTTGTAAAGGTCGGAGGCCCACAATTATTACTGCTAATAAATTACACCTTTTGTTTTTTCAAACATCTATCTACTCATATTTAGTAACTGGCGGTAATGGTTAATTATAAAGAATACAATTTCTTCACTAGCACTGAAGTAATTTTCACTGGCACATGATTTGGTTGGAATGGAATTTTGAGGATGGTCAGTAACAGCTGCTGTGTGGACAACTGAAATTGGATAAGAGGGATAAATCACACCTGTAAGTGATGCAAATATAAACAGGATAGAGAAAAAAACACACAAATAAACCTAGAAACCTGCAATCTAAAGAAGATATTTCTGTTCGGTCTAAAGATAAAGGTCATTTGATTAAAAACAGGTTACACACAGAGACAGACTCTCCAAAGGCCTTGCTGCTATAGGCAATGATTTACCAAATAAATTTTGGCCAATGATATATTTGCCCTCCCATACAGAGTAGTCACCAAAAATATATATTTAGATAATGAAATGAAAATCTTTCACTTAAATTTTCCAGTTCTGCCTAGTTAAGAGACGTGCTCACCAGTATGTACAGTAATTAAGGATTTAAAAGAAAAAAGTAATTCATATGCAGCGCTGCCAAACCTATGGCATGTGTGGCACAGCTAGCTATTTGTTATCGCTGAAAGCTCTAAAAGGTTTGCCACTATTGATATAGAGTACGTTTATATGCTCACTCTCACTGTTCAACAAATTAAATTACTCGAATTAAGCTGATTGAGAGAGTCTGTGGGTTGTAAAAAGGATAGCCTACCTAACGTGGACCATACGGGGGGCTGAATTTGACTTTTGTTTTTTAAAGATCTCTGGCACTTTCATTCAGATATATTAATTCAAACACAGGCTAGTATTGCATATTTCTCATACAATGACTAGATATACAACCCTGCATTGTTCTCGCCCCGAGACAGTCTTCATGGGGTTTTAAATTCAGGACCCAGAGATGAACAACAGGTAACTTATGAATTGTCTTGAGTTACACAGACATTTACTTGGGTGTTTATGAGAGTATGTACATATACTTCTAGAAAATAGGTCCAGATTTTATAAGATTAAGGAGGTCTAGAACTATATAAAAATTTGATATAGGAATACTCCTTCATTTGACTGGAGGCCAAATAAGGTTTTTCTCTAAGGTTCTAAGGAGACTAAGGACATGATGCCCTACAAGAGACTGGGAGAAAGCCTTCTGCTAATGTATTTTTTAAAAAGATACTTTTTAATTTTTAACAGGTCAAGGTCTAAAAGAGTTCTGGATCCTCTTTGGAACTGGTAACTTCTGTGATACGGACCATAATGCTTTTGTAAAGAATTAAAATGATAATTACTCTGTGAAAATCACTTCATTTCCATTGTTAAACAGTCATTAAGCACTTTCAATTAAAACTGATAAAGAATGATTCTAGTGTCAGACAAGCCGTCAAAAATTTTGCCATTTTTAACTAGTTCTATAAACGAAATAGCCTAAATAATGACCCAAAGCTCCCACCCTCATCTTAAATCCAGTAGAAATACTGTTACTACAAGCTGGCACTTCAGGTTTTCAGAAGATACTAAGCTTGAAACACGGTAATTCCTTCAAACCTAAATCAGTGTCACAGATCTCGCCAGACCAAAGAAGACTGTGGCAAAAATGGCATTCCAGAAAGCAACATATTCACATACAGTTTTACGCAGAATCAAACATTCTAAACACAAGGTTTCGGGGGCTGCGGCACAATGTCTGCCTGGCAAGCGCAAGGTCCTGAGTTCAATTCCCAGTACCAATAAACAAACAAGCAAATGCTTTCACTGCAGTGTAAATTTAATTACATAAATTGTCAAAGCTGAAAAGTTACTTGCTATAGGGTCCTCCACTTCCTCCATAATCATAGGATTGCTGAGACTGGTCATCGATGCTGTAACTTGTCTGGTAGAAATCTGTATTTAAATTATCAAAGCCTGACATCGCAAAAGACCTGTAATAGAAGAGAAATTGACAGCGTTTATGCCCAAGGTCCTACTTCATTTCGTCCTAGCACTCTGATTAAGGAACTCATCTTAAGGCGACGGTAAACTTTTCCTCTAATCGTGGGGGCCAGCATTCGGAGAGACTTCAGGAAATTTCTAGTCTCTGCTGAGAAACCCAACAAGACACTTCGACCTCAAAGAGCGGATACGCCTTCGGTAGGGGCGAGGTCCCGGGAGGGGTGGCTCTACAGCGACCTAAGATAACCAGTAACAACGATGATTCCTCATCTTGCAACAGAGCTTTACAGGAGCAGCACGAATGTCGCCTTGCAGAATACAGCTCAGAGCCTGCCAGGAGAGCGCAGGATCGCGGAAGGTCGCGTACGAGACGGAGCGGCCGCGTCGGGACAGGGAGTGAAAGGGAGTGAGGGCTGAGCGAAGGACCGCGGCGCCGCGCCCAAAGAGGGCAACAAGCTGCGCCGCACAGCTATCGAAAGAAGCCAGAAAGTGTGCAACGGGCCTGCGACACTCACCCAAGGCGGAGGGAGCAGTGGCGGCAGCGGCTGTTGCACCAGCGGCCCCAAGTAACCCCCACAAATTCAACTCCGCAACGTACTCTAGCCTGTCGCTACGTGTCACAGGGCAAAGAACTGCTTCCGGGGCACACTGGCTCACGCAGGCGTGTTGGCAAGTTTGGCGCCCTCCGATTGGAAGATGGGCGGAGCTAAGGGGGAATGCTGTGGGACATGCGCAGTATCAACAGACTGGCCCCGCAACGGGCCAATGGGAAGAGGGAAGGTGCTTACCGCGGTCCGGTCAGCGGTGGAGGCCGGAAGACTCAGGCGCAGCAATTGCTAGGTAATAGTTCAGTGCGTCAATTTCTTCCTTGGCCTCGATCCCGGATCAAAGCGGAGAAATGCCCAAATTAAACCGACAGAGCTCCTCTGCTATCCACAAACCAGAGCCGCTGACTTTTAACGTGATTTAGGCGCAGTACTAAAGAGTTTGTGTGTATTTAATCTTGACAGCCCAAATTAAATTTGTACTTTTACTTTGCTTGTTATAAATGAAACTTAAGTGCCCCTTCCTTCTATGCTAGCTGTTAGGGATTCCGGGTGAATACAGGCTAGCTCTCCCGCGGGAGAGGGATAATCAAACACATACAAATACATGTAGCGTTGTTATTAATTTTCTTAATGCCTCCTAATTCTTTCAAAGAGGTGATACTTATCTAGGAAGATGAGTCTGAAGAGCAGCTCCGAGAGGCAGGTGTTCCAAAGAGAGCTGACTTAAGAAGGGGAAAGGTAAGGGGAAGGGTAAAGGCAAAAGTAGGGTTTCTGCCCCTCTGCACTACAGACATCCAGAGGATTCTTTTTCTGCAGGATGTTTCCCAGCATTCGCGATCTCTAGCCACTAGTTTTCAGTTAGCAGCCCTCCCCGCAAATTGTGACTACCAAAACCTTGATTCCAGGTATTGCTACATGTTCTTTAGGGAGTAATTGTAGCCTAGTTTGGGAGCCACTTGACTAAATGGAGCCAAGGTGATTGGAACAGCAAAGAAGGGAACCGCAGAGAAATTGAGGCTGGAATGATGGAACTAGGAAATGGGAAATCTTGTGCGATTCTGGGGTTAATTCGAAAAGAAAGGGGAAAACATTACAGGTTATGAACTGACAGGTGACATGACTAGATGGTGGTGTCCTGTTGAAAAAGACTGCTTCTGACTGCTGTGTTAAATCACTTCCAAGGAGGTGGAATCCTAAATGCTGTAACTCCAGACACCATGCTATACTTATAAGCAGAACTGTCTTTAGGATAATAACACTAAAATTTGGATAGCATTTTCATTATAGTCTCTGTTCAGAGTTGTGTATTCTTCACAAAATAACTCAGTCTATTGTTCTGTGGCCAGTTTCCAAAGGAAAACTAAAAATTTACTGGTTAAAAACTTTCTTTCAACAGCCCTGTCAAAAAATTAAAACAAAAAGCATTCTCTTCCAAACAAAATAACAAAAGGACACGGAAAACCAAAAAACCCAGCAGTATTTTGAGAGACACTTTGAGGTCTCTATCAGTGAATTTCTAAAATTGCTTATCCAACTATATATCACTTTTTACCAGTCACTTTAGCATTTATTGATGTAGGTATCATGTGCACAATTTTAGGTAAATGACCATATATTATGGTTTGCTGGAGACTATCTTATCCATTTTATGTCTGTTTTTCCCCAGCATAATTATTAACAGTGTCCCCTTTTTACTCTTAGGAATATCCCAGTTTGTCTAATAATTTATATAGTTGTATTCTTGAACTACACTATCCATGAAACTGTTTTAGTTCTCAACAATATGCAATAATATATTAATATAGCTATTTAGTGATTTTATGCTTTAAAACATTCTAGTTTCCCTTTTTCATCTGTTGCTTTTATTTCTTCATCGCCAAAAGACATGAAACTCTCAAAGTTGAATGAAATATAGGAATGTGAAGGTTAAATAAACATTGGCTACTTAGGAATCCACTGTTGGGTATAAATGTTATCCAAATTTTGTTTCTGTGAAAGTAGTTATCATACTTAAATTTTTTCTCTTCAAATTCCTGCACCAGTTGAGAAACAAAGCAAGAAAATTAATTTACCTGATTTGATCTTCCATTTTGTTTGAAGCATAAATCAAGGTATCCTATAGAAATCCCTGGGAGATTTTGAGAACATCAGTTAATTTTATGGCTTACAACCGAGGCCTTTCTTTTTGGAAAATGTTTCTGATGTTGCTTCCCCTGTCCGGGATAGGCTCCAGAATGTTATATTAAGGGAAACTAGAGAACTTGGTTCATATGCTGAGGTCTGTGAAAGTCATTGAGCTGGCTTTTTTTTTTTTTTTTTTTTTAGGAGAAAGCCTCAACAGGTCAACAGATTATTGGAACATGAAATGGGGCCTATAACAGCTGCTATCTGCTGTTCTGAGACCTAATGTATCAATCACCAAACTTGTAACTGAAAAGGACATTCTACTCATGAATAATATATTTAAAATAGCTCTACAGCCATGCTAGTATACATATCAACACTTTTATAGACATTACATACACATACAAAATAACTCTGCTTTCTTAGGATAGTAGTGAAATTGTGTGTAGATATTTTAGAAACATCTCCTTCCCCCTCTGTTTTATAGGTACTATGTCTGGGGAGCTGTACCAGAAAAGTATGTTTGAAAATGGGCATTTTTCTCTACCATCAGTGATATCAGTAAGCACAAATTGAGGTGAAGGTTTGGCAGCTGTGCCATATCATGTCAAGTAATAAGATGAGTGAAACCTAGCAAAAACCAATATAATTACTCAGTGTTCATTTTCACTATTCCTACATATTAATTATCCAACCCCACATCCAAAATATGATGGCTATATTTCCCCCAAATTATCCTTTATCTCTTATAAAAAAGTTTCATTGACTTGACTATGTTAAGAGATATTATTCAGATTTTTCTTTTGATATGTTAATTATTTTACTCGGTACAATAAATTGTTGTTTGAGGAAGACAGATTTGCATGCAGTAATATTGAATGCTTTGGGGGAGAACTGGTTTTCAAGAGGCAAGGAAAGTTAAGCCTGATTTAATAATTATTCTTTGGGCTGCGCCTTTAATATCACAAGTGCTGCTTTGAACACAAATAAAAAATAAAACAAAAAAACCCTCTGAAATTCTTGCTTTCCATCCCCAGTACTAGAAGTGAATAAATGACCTTTTAAAGATAACTTCTAAAGCAGATCTGTAAGTAGTTTCATTGTAGATATTATAAGTACTCATTTAAACACATTTCAAATTTTACATGAATGGGTATTATGGTTTAGAGTAAGAATTTTAGTGACAGCACTGCAAGTTCTGTTCTTCCAGTAACTTATACAGAAGGAAAGATAATGTAAGTAACAGAATTAGAGAACTTCATCTAAGAACTTCATCTAAAGTGATAGCAAAGCCATTGGTGCCTCAGGTGTAAGTGAAGCATTTGAACAATGTAGTAACTAATGCCTGTATGTATTTACTGTGCTAGGCACTACTCCAAGCACTTTGTAGCTTTTAACTCAGTTACTCCAATAGCCCAGTGAGGTAGGTTCTGTATAACTCATGTTTAACACACGAGGAAACTGAACGTTGTTGATAACTTGTCAAACTTCATTAAGCTGGGAAATAGTAGATCAGTAGTAGACCAGAGAGTTTTTTTAATAATATAGAAATGTGTTTATTTATTTTAAAGAGAAAAGAAAAAAGAAAACAAAATAACAACAACAAAGATAAAAACAAAACAACAAAAATGATACAGAATTTCAAAACAAGATGATAAGAAATTAACAATGGTTATTATATTACATATTGTTATCTTCAACAGAGTTGCTCAGATTACCAGATGTAAAAATGCAAGATTCATCAAACCATTAAAGAGAATAAAAAATAATGAAAACATTAGAAATGATACAGAGTTTCACTGAAATCAAGATGGTAGGAATTCAACAATGGTTGTTATATTGCATATTGTTGTTTTCAAATTAGTTGTTCAGATTACCAGATATAAGAATGCAAAATTGATGAAAAAAAGATTTAAACATTAGCTGTTCCTTTCAATAAAGGAATAGACATCAGCAGTTTTATTATCCGAGCTATCCGTGTATACATATGTATTTTCCCTTCCTTCTTTCTTGATTTGAACCCAAACAGTTTGGTACCTGAGTCCTTGTGCTAAGCCACTGAGCTATATTGTTATTGTGTTATAAAATGTGAATATGGAAAAAGCAATAATGATGATGAATGTGCAACTTGCTGTGATATGTTATTCTATATTGATTTGTTTATTAAAATTAAACTTGCTATTTTACATTTGATAGTTGCATCTATATTATCAATATGTGGATACATTCAAGTTGATAAAATATTTTGTAATGGTTTCATTGGGCAAATGATGAATCTCCTTATGTTCAAGTTTAGTCATGTATTTTAATTAATATTGCATACTGGTTGAGGGAGGAGGATCTGTAGCCACACTGCATGTACCACTTCCTAGCTGTGGATCTTTAGTAGTTAACTTTTTATGCCTCAGTTTTCTCATCTGTGAAGGCCAAGTAACAGTATTCTTTTTATATTGGGTGGTAGAAGGATTATGTAAGATAATGCATGTAGTGAATGTCTAAGTAATAAGTACTCAATATTTGCAGTTGTTATCATTGCTATATTATAATATAGCTACAGAAGAAACAGTTATTTAATCAGGAATCAAAATGGACTTTTCAAAACTTTAAGGACAAGGTTTGAACAAACTGCTTCTGAGATCAGTTATGAATCTTCACTTTGCTCCTACAGATTCTATAGTGTTATATAATTTGCTGTTTGATACTGTGGAGTGCATTAGAATATATTGCCTTCATCCTGTAGAAAGATTTACTACATTTGGCTTCTCTGCATTGTAAATTTTAATTTCACAAATATTTTTACATCAAATGCTATTGAGATCCACCCACAGGAGAGCAATTGTACTTGAAAGTTGCAAACTGTGCTATTTACATTTAATATTCTTGATGTTTCATAATATTTAAAGCACTGTAAAATGTTTTCATCTTTCTACTCTCTTTCTCTTGTTTTTCCTTAATGTGCAGAAGTTACCAGGAGTACAAGCTTGTTATACACTCCTATTGTTTCATTTAATGTTTTTGTCATTCATTTGAAGAGAGGTTGAGATACATGAAATTTCCAGTATTTGATCTGTAAAGTAACAGTTTCATTTGGTTCAGCCTAAGGCAGTATTCTCATTTTGATCAATGAGTAAACTATGCTTTAACATGTTTAAGTAATTTGGCTCAGGTCATATAAAGTGTATATACGTATGAATGTAAGCATTTTTTAATAACTAAGGTTTAAACTACAGTCCATCTCAGTCTTATCTTTGTTCCAAAATACTGTTTTCCATAAAAATGTTTCAAAAATAAAAGTTAGGATGTGTGAATAAAGTTAAAGAATGTTGATACTTGAACCACAGTAACTATAATACTGGCATATCCGTCCTTTCATTGTAACTTGTGCAGAAAAACTTGGTGAGCAGGTACATTTCACTGCTGTTGAGGAAAGGGAAAAAAATAATTGTAGTCAGCCAGTACTGGTTTTCTAGGCTGGTATGAAAAAGTGCCACAAACTGGGTGGTCTAGGCAACAGAAATTTACTCTCACAATTCTGAAGGTTGGAAGTCTGAAAACAAGGTGTTGGCAGGGTTGCTTCCTTCTAAGGGCTGTAAGGAAGAATTTGCTTTTGTGTCTCTCCTAGATTCCAGTGGCTTCCTGTCATTTTTCAACATCACTCAGGTCATAAATGCATCACTGCAATATCTGCCTTCATCATCACATGTTTTCCCTGGGTTTCTTCACATAGTCATCCCTCTTTGGGATGACTATGTCCAAATTTCCTTTTTTTTTTAATTTTAAAGAGAATGAAAACAATACGGAATATGTACACAAGATAGCTAAGATAATTGTACTAATTTCAATCAGTTTATTGAAAGGAACGGTTAATGACTAATTGATCAATTTTGCATGCCTATATCTGATAATCTGAACAACTACTTTGAAGATAACAATATGCACTATAACCAGCATTGTTAATTTCAAATTTCTCTTCTATAAAGACACCATTCCTATTGGATGAGGGCCCATTTTAACTTGATTGCTTTTGAAAACCTATTTCCAAACAAGGTCACATTCTGACCTACTGAAGAGAAGGGCTTTAACATATCACTTTTGGAGTACATTGTTGAGCTCACAACACGGCCATAAGTCCTTACTGCATTCCTTTGGCTAAATATAGACCAACATGCACATGAACAGTAATCTGTTACAATTTCATTTTGAGTACATAGTCACATCAATCTCAATTTCTTTTTTTTTTCTTTTAAAGAGAAAACAACAACAAAATAACAACAAAGACAAAAACAATAAAAGTGCTACAGAATTTCAAAACAAGATAATTCCTGACAAAACTAGGATTAGAGGTCCCACCTAACTCAGCTGTTCCCCTTCTGGGTATTTTTCCAGCAAAACCGAAAACATCATATCACAGCGACACATGTGTACCCATGTTTATAGCAGTGCAGTTTGCCATAGCTAAATCTTGGAAACAACCCAAATGCCCATCAACTGAGGAATGGATAAAAAAGATGTGGTATTTTTATACAATGAAATATTACTCAGCTATAAAAAAGATAAAGTCGAGGCTTTTATAGCTAAACAGATGCAACTAGAGATGATACTCATAAGTGAAATAAATCAGACCCGCATGTGTAAACATTGCATTATCTCCCTTGTTTAAGAACCTGAAAGAGTAAATAAAGCCTGAAAGGTACAATAGATATTGTGAAAGTGAAAGAAATTACTCAAAGGGAAGGAACAACTGGGATGAATGAGGGAAAGGAGAAAAGAAAGAAAGAAGGAAGGGAAAAAATATATGTGTGTATACAAGGATAGCTGGAATAATTTTACTGCTGATGTCCATTGGTTTATTGAAAGGAACAGTTAATGCTGAATCTTTTTTTATTTTGAGACAGGGTTTTACTATGTAATTCAGGCTGTTTTTGACCTCACTATATACCCCAGGCTGGCACCAAAATTGAGATGATCCCCTCACCTCAGCCTCCCGAAGACTGGGATTAGAGGCAGGCACCACCACGCGTGGGCCAATTTCTTGTCATTACTGCAATTTGTGATAAACCTTTGGAATAAAACCCATAGGAAGGAGATCCTTTTTAGTTCTTTCTTTTGGAAGCAGTGCACATTTGGCCCAAAGTAAGCTCCCTGCTTAGGTTTTCAATTTTGTCCTGTGCTTGTAGAAGGGCAAATGCTAGAATAAGATTTTCATCATTTTTTTTTTTTTTTTTTTCTGGTACCGGGAATTGAAATCATGAACTTACACTTGCCAGGCAGGCGCTGTGCCGCTGAGCTAAATCCCCAGACCCTGATTTTCATCATTTCTAAAACAAATTGAAAGGCATTAAGTTAAAAGAGTAAAGTCTTGCTAAAAGAGAATGTTAATGACTACGAGTACTGATACTTAAAGATTTTTTTAAAAAAAATTTTGTGTGTTTGATTTTTTTTAATGTAAATTGAACTTTAAAATAGGCATTTTTAATTTTTCAGTTTTCTTCCTTGGAAAGAAAAGTTACTGTAACCTAATTATAATGCTTTTTATATACATAAGACTATTGATTATAATACCCACCAAATTCTTTTCCTTAAATGAAGATTAATTTATTTTAAAACAATCAGAGGTACATGAAATAAAACTTAGGATTTTCATTAAATTCTGCACAAGTAGATCTGGAAGTCAAACACAAATATATTTTGCCTTTCAATTTTGCTTTAAGCAGTCAAGATGTTCTTTACTCTGTCCCTGAAGTCCTAGTTTTGTACATTTTAATGAAAATCACAAATCCCCTGCTGTCTGAGATAATTTCTTCCCTTTGGAAGGGAGTATAAAGATTTCTTGACCCTTGATAAAATTTTATTTTGGAAAGATTAACTCTATTTAAAAGGTTATTTTAGATTTATAAATATTACTTACTTCATAGATTCTCTCTAAACATTCTTTCTCTTGACATAGCTGATGCGGCACAGGTGGACTCCATTTTGTTTCTCAGCTCCATGTTAGAAGTCACTTAAATTTTAGATGAAACTCACTTCTCACCCCCTCCACTCTTAGTTAGCCATAAACCCACAAAAAGAGGAACAAGATGTTATCTGGAGGAACAGATAGGACAAACTGTGGGTGAGCTAAGACTAACTGCATCCTGCCTGACTAACACACTCGTGGGATATGTAAATCTTGTGATGGGACAGCTCTTAAACCTTGTGAATTCCTATAAATTTCCAAAATGAGGTAATGTGGCTACTATAGAAATGTGTGAAGGATAAGACCCCAGAAAACAAAGCCTCAGAGCCGACATTCTCTGAATCCATGTCAGGTTGTCCTCCACTGCCTAAATAAACCTCCTTTGTTCCTATTTCTAGGCCTCTATGAGTACTTCCTTCCTGATCTGCTGTAACACTCTTAATTCTAAAGTTGAGTTCTGTCCTAAATGTTGTAACATTTCCCTTTCCCACTCCTTAGAAATTAAATATCTCTATTTTATGTTAAAATTTTGACAGGGCCCTGTCAACCTGAATTCACTGAGACAGCTGTAAAGTTAACAGAAAATAGACTGATATTCACAGAAAGTCAGGACAGCAAGTGACTTAGAAAATGACCAAAACTCTCTTCATTGAACTGGCTTCACATAATGAGAGTATTAGTTAAAGAGAATTAAAGTTGACAGGAGATAATTCTTGCCATACTCTTCGATTTTACAAATGAGTATCTAAGGCCAAGAAAGTAAAGCGACATATCTTAAGCCTAGAATTTAAAATGTTGCCTTATTAATGTTTTTGATAAAGGCCCCAAAGTCTAGCTATCAGTCCCCTGATCAGCATCAGAGGAAAAAGACCTTACTCTGGCTGTTCCCCTGTCAGATCAGCTGCATTCTGCCTGATTTTCAACCTCAGTAGTTTCAGCTCCGTATAAAAGCTTGTGAAATTATTCAAAAAAGCTAATCCCATCCACTGATGGAAACCAGGGGTCGTCTAAGTACTAAGACCACAGCCTATACTAGTGTATTGCCAAGGGCAATCTCTCATGTGACCCTTGTGGTATACAGTGTTCTCTTGCCCTACGCCATTGGTGGCAAACCTAGGGCACGTGTGTTGTTTTTCTTTTAAGATAGAAGATGTTAATATATGAGTTGTTTTTTCTAACCTAAAACCTGTTCAGGTTTAATTGCTGTGTTGGCAGTTTATGATAAATCAGTGGGATTTGGGTTGCAGTTTGGGCATTCCGTCTCTAAAAGGTTACTATCACTGCCATAGACTGTGCATATATAGGATTAGTAAATTATAGTCATTGTCATTTTTCCAGTGTCAGGTCTATAAAATGTTCTGTCAACTGGTCCTATTTAGAGAGGAGGACCTTTTACCAACAGTCCATAGAAAGTGATCAGGACAAGGGGTTTGATCTGTGTTTTTTGATAATGACTACTGTCAGATTCACCAGCTCATTTCTGTGCCTTTCAGTTGATAGATGATTGTAGGTAGTGGTACCCATCTAATCAAGACTCTGTTAGGGTAGAGGGCATATTGTATTTTTGTATCCCAACTGTAGGACATAGAATAATGCTGGTGTTTATTCCTTTATTTAACAAATATTTATTGGGAGCCTACCATATACCATTCACTACAGATGCTGTGTTGGCTGGCCCCTTTGTGTTTTAACTTGAAGAAGTCCTATTCTTCTATCTCCTCTGCAGGTTTGCTTCAAGCTGGTTGCCCACAATCCCCTACCTGAGAAATCTCCTATTCTCACTGTTTCTGGCTTGATGAAGTCACCACTGGTTTCCATCCACGCTTGTTTGTGAAAAGTAAGTGTTGGACCAGGTCTGAGGGCTCAGCTGGTGGGTGTTGCTGTCTGTAGGTGGAACCTATGCTGGAACTCTCAACCACAACACCTATACGTGGCTTCTCCACTTGTTATGGGCCTTCTCAAAGTGCGTTGTGGCTAGATTGGGAGGAAGAGCATGCGGAGAGTCAGCCAGAAGTTGTGTCATCATTTCTACACGATCCTTGAAAATCATGCAGCGTCACTTCATATGCTCTCTATTGGCTGGAAACAAGTCTAAAGCTGGAAACAAGTCATATAGAAAAAGGAAACTGCACTCCCAACTTTTGATGGTAAGACTGTCAAAGGTTCTTAATGTGTTTTAAAACTACCACTTCCCAAACAGATGCAAGTAGAAAAAGAACAGCATATGTATTTTTTGTATTTAGAGAAACTTGATACTGTAGTAGGCATACCTCACCTAGGTATATAGCCAAAGGAAATCAGCACTCTGTAGAGACATCTACACTACTATGTTTATTGCAGCATTGTTTGTAGTATCCAAAAAATTAAAACAACCTATATGTCTGTAACTGTATAAAGAAACTATGATTATGTTGTACACACAAAAATATTACTTAGCTTAAAAAAAAGATTCTGGCAACATAGCTGAAGTAGAAGGACATTGAGTGAAGTAGGCTAGACAAAGAAAATTACTGCATGGTCTCACACACACACACACACACACACACACACACACACACACACACACACCTTTCTTAGTACTGGGGATAGAACCCAAGGCCTCACACATGCTAGGCAAGTGTTTCATCACTGAGCTACATCCCCAACCCTGTATGACTCATATATGGAATCAAAACATCTCCACAACTTCAATGCATAGAGCAAAGAGACAAATAGTTACTAAAGGAAGGAGAAAGGGTTTTGGGGATATGTAGGACAATGTGTACAAAGTAACAGTTATATAGGATAAAACATATACTACACAGTTATGTAGGAAATCTAAAGTCTACCACAGGGCTATGGTTAATAATATTGTACACTACTAGAAATTTTCTGTCAGATTTTAGATGCTCCTAACACACATACACACACACACCACAGACAACTGTGAGTTAATGTTTATGTCAAATTGCTTACCTATAGTAATCACTTCACTACCTATATGTATGTTAAGATGTATTGTAAAATAAGACAAAATATTTAAAAGATGAGTAAAACAGTGAGTATAGGATCTACCCTCCCATACAAAAAGTGAAAGTATGCTAAATGTATTAATTAGATTCTGACATGTCAGAGCTATTTAAAAGTGGAATATGTTGACTGGTGTTTTGTGGTTCTGTAGACAGTCTTACTATTATATGTACTTAAAGGTTTATTTACTAATGAAGTATTTTGCTTTATATAGTTATTCCTCATAAAACATAGTCTGTAAATGAAATGCATTACTTATGAATCAAGCATTTGTATAAATATTCCATAGCACTCTTTCTCTACAGTAGGTGATACCTAATGTTCACTGTTTGCTTATTTTTTTCATGATGCATGAAGGGCGATGTTCCTATTTGTTTCTAGAACTTTGTACGGGTAAAATGTGTATGCCATGCTCATTTTGCCCCCTAGTGGTTTTTTATGTCTTTGGTGAATACCATATTTACATATAATTTTCAAATCTTTAGGAATGTAAGTAGGAAGAGTATAATTTCACCCCTGCCACATGCACTTCATTTTACAGATGAGGAACATAAGATCCAGAAAATTTGCAGGAGTTGTTTGATGTCACATATCCAGCTAAAACTAAAAGTTGTGTATTATTCTTCTCTCACACCTCATTAGAAAGAAGCCCCAGAGGGGCAGGGCAGTCTTATTTATTGAGAAGCAAGAAGTACGCCTAACAAGCAGTAGGTGTTCAGAAAATATTTGCTTCCACTTTTTAGGCATTGTGAAAAATGCTGCTATGAACATGGGTATACAAATCTGTCTGTAGCCCTGATTTGCATTCTTTTGTACATAAAAGTGCTGTGTCATATGGTAATTCTACTTTTAATTCATTGAGAAAGTACCATTTTGTTTTTCATAAGAGCTATACCATTTTACTTTATCAGCAAGCGTGTACAAGGGTTCTAATTTCTCCACATCCTGGTTCATGCTTACTCTTTTCTGTTTTTTTTTTTTTTTTTTTTGCTGGAGGGAAGTGATGTCTCATTGTGGTCTTTCCATTTCCCTAAAGATTAGTGATGTGGGGAATCTTTTCATATGCTGGTTGGCCTTTTGTATCTTTGGCAAAACATTTTGTCAAGTCCTTTGCTGTAAAAAGACACATTTGTCTGTTGCTTTCTTTTAGCACTATGATAAAAGCCATTGCCTTTTGTTTGATATATTATTTATCTGAGATATGAATAATGCTAAAATAATGACTAATACTTGTACCTATTGTGTTCCAGGCACTATTCTGTTTGTTTGTTTTTTTTGGTTTTTCTCCGGTACCAGGAACCGAACTCGCGACCTTGCACTTGCCAGGCAGGCGCTTTTGCCGCTGAGCTAAATCCCCAGCCCCTCCAGGCACTATTCTAACTGCCTCACATATAATAACTTATTTAATCCTTAAAACATTCCTATAAGGTGGATTCTATTACTGTCCTCACTTTATGGAGGGAGACAGGGAAGCACAAAGAATGACTTGCTCAGTGTCACAGCTGCTGAGCAGTAGTCAAGACTGGAATCCAGGCAGTTGGCTATAGAATCTGTGTACATAGCCAAATTATTTTTCCTATCTCCAGTGTTTTCAAAATGTCATCTATACCTTTTATGTGCTATCTTCCTGGATATCTACCCCTTCTGTATAAGATTGCATTGCATATTGTAGACAATTAAATGCAGATGGCCCACACTGTAAGAAAGATTTCATTGATTTATATCTACTAATTATGTCAACCCTTGACATTAACTATCAAGAAGGACATCAGAGGCCTCATCTGACCAAACTAGTAATAATTAGGAGTTATATTGGCATCTAAAGTCAATAGTTAACCAGCCATAGTGTTGCATACCTGTAACCCCAAGATGCTGAAGCAGGAGGATTGCCATGATTTTGAGGCTGACTTGGGCTACATAGTGAGTTCAAGATCAGCCTGAACTACACAGTGAGACCCTGTCTCAAAAAAATTAAATAGATAAAGTCTGTAGCTATAAAAGAAAAGATATATATATATATATATTCATATACATATATCATGCTATTGCCCTAAATTTATATTAAACTCTAATAGAAAAACTTAAAAGAAAAGGTAAGGAATTAGTGTCCTTGTTCAGAGCCTAAGGGAACATAGTTTAAAGTTTAAATAATAAGCTAGAACTATTGATCACCATAAACACTGACTCTGTTATGTATAGAATCCTTTAGTGATATTCTAGTTTTGTAATCTTGAGAAATAGCTGCAAGATCTTTTTCATGGTATTCTCACCTCTTAAAAGAAAGCAAAAGAAGTTTTGAACAAGCTTGCTCAAGCAAGTCCCACGCTGTCCTCTGGCATCCTCCTTTTTTCTTCAACACACTCCCACTATATAGTGTGTCAAAAGCAATATATTAAGCATATGTTAAAGTTTTTAATGTCTTGAAAAACTGATCAAAGGAAGAGATTTTATAATTGTCCTTTTTCAGAGGTATCATATTTTAATGTATTGATGAAAACTACACAAATTGCCAGTTCTCATTAAAGAAGGGGAAGGAGACAGGGGATGACCTAAAGTGCTGGAAATGAGTAAACCTGAGTTCTAAAGCCATTTTAACCACTAGATTATGCTATTACCCCTGTAGCTTTGCTTGGCTTCAACTTCTTCACCAGCGAAATGAAAAAAAGAAAAACTAGACAGGGATATAGTAATGTCTCCATTCGTTCAATGACTCTTTATGGCACACCTATTATGTTCCAGGCATTATGCTAGATGCTTGGGACAGGCTGCGTTACTGAACAAAAGGAAACACCATTCTTTTTCCCTTGTGAAACTTACATTGGTCATTAGTGGAGAGGAACATGACTCAAATTACCATTCATCAAAAAGCCAAGTCATTAGAACTTTTCAGTTTTTAAGATTCATATTCAAATAAACATAAGAATAGTTCATAGAACACAAATCTGAACATACATATTTGAGAGGTCTAACAAACTTATCTATTTCCTAGGGTCATTTTTCCCTGGATTATTAGCCATGGATATTGCAGACTACTTATGACAATTTTCTACCTGTCAATGACATAATGTATTGTACCAGTTCATTATTGTAATAATAGTTACTGTGCATAATTATGCATAATTTCAGGTAATAGTCAGTCTTCATTTTCATCTTGTTCTTAGAACTGCCTTTTTTTCCCTAACCAAGAAGTATAGAAAAATTAGTGAAGTATTATCCTAAATATAATAACAGTTTTAATGTTAATGTTTTCTTCAAATTAACTTTGAAGTTTCAAAGATAAGAGCTGAGATGAGGGGGGAAAAGGAGAATAAAGAGAAACAGAGAGAGTCAGAGACAAAGACAGAGAGACAGAGACAGAGAGAGACAGAGATAGACAGAGAGAGCTTATTTTCATAGCTGTGACAAAATATCCCTTGGGTGCCCTTTTCTTCAGATTTAAATTTTATTGATAGAACATATATGGAGAAAGATGTAAAACTGAGATGTCTTCACTAAATCATTAATAACACAAAGCTAACAGACTTTTAAACTGTTTATTCTTTTGTTAAATTTTTTCTTTGACAATTGATCTCTAGATTGTTTCACATACCTCAAAGTTATGCTGTCACTTAAATCTTCTCTGGGATTTTATTGTCATCTGTAAAAACTATTCTACACAGATGTCTTTAAGTTGTGTTAAATTAACACAACTTTAAGGAGGAGACTATTTATGGAGATCTACCAAGAGCCCTTTTTAGAATATTGCTGCTAATAAATATTCTGCCTCAGGTTGAGATTTCATGTAAAGATATTTTCACAAGATGTTCCTGAAGTAACCACTCCTCAGCCCTGCTGAAAGGTGGTTGGCTTAGCAGACAGCAGTCTTACCTCAGAGTGTAGCTTCTTGTCACAACCAAAAGACTTCTTGTCACAACCAAAAGACTTCTTGTTAGGAGTTAAGCAAATGTTTTGGTTGGTAATGAATTTTTCCAAATCTTAGATTTCATCTGGGTTTTACTTTTGAAGTATTTTTTCTCTACAAATTGTCTTTTGCTGGTACTTCTGAAAACTTAATAAGTATTTGCTCTCTATTTCTCCTAGGATTATTGTTATTTAGGAGTAAGGAATAATTAAGGCCAAATTCTTGGCTTAGAATTTT